TTTGTAAAATATTTTTTAATTTATTCCAAAATTATAATAAAAATATTACATTATTAGTTGAACGTTTTATTTCTTCACCTTAAATAATAATATTATTACAATGTTAGTTGGGTGTTTTATTTGTACATCTTTTAATTACAAAATGGTTTCTACATGCATACACATAACTAAAGTGAATCAACTTGGTGAATTATATGTTTAATAGTAATAAGTCCAACCATATGATATGGACTGCAATTATCTTATATTATTGTTTCAACCTACTTTCTAAATTTTAATACTTAAATAAAAATATAAATGCCCCTCATACATATGAAGGACATGGAGTCTGATTACACTCCTAATCCGACTTATCAAACTTCAACCAAAAAATATCCACACTTTCAAAACATAAACATTAAACATTAACAAAAAAAAATAACAAAATGGTTCAAAAAGTAAAAATAACATAAAACCTACAAACCAAGAAAAAAAAAACATAAATATAAGAAAAATTACCATGTGCAAAGCACGTGCACTTCCACTAGTTTATATAATATATATCATTTACTTTTTTTAATATGATAAAATTAAAGCACAAAATATTACACTTACTATTCATTTTCATTAATTTCTTTTACATCTTACATATTTTAATTTTCATTAATTATAAATCACCATTTGATAATATATTATATTATTTGTCCTGTCCCTGATAAGATGCAAGGAAAAGACGGAGAATGACAAACTTGTCCCTTGGCCATCTAGTCTCAATTCAAATCAATTATCCATTTATACTCTATATTCGACTAAGGGGTGTATTTGAAAAAAATAATAATAATAATTTTAGTTAAAAATTTATTAAAATATTAAAAAGTCAAAAAAATTAAAATAAAGATTTAATTAGGACATATGATACGTTGTGCATTATAAATTATCCTAGAATTTAACAAGTTGTTACAAAAAAAGCTGATGGAATTGCAGGAGATTGTGAGAATAAAATAATTGCGTTGTTGGAAATTAATTTGTACCTAGTATATTGATTTACTTTATCTACCAAATTTCACATACACGTGTTTATATAATTCACAACCCTTATGGCAGAAGTGGCAGTTTACCAAACCAATAAACAAAAATAAAATTAAATAAAGTCTAAATCAATAACAAAAAGATCAATTTTTTATAAAATATTTGGGCATGCAAGATAAACAAGATTGACAATTCTTGACACCTTTTTCTTCGTTAAAGCCTAATCACATCTAGGAAGAACGAAAAAAATTAATAACTCTGACTGACATCGCATATGATATGCCCTTTCAATTAGAGAATGACATGTAAATATGCGACCACTTGACCTAAAAACTAAATACTAACCATGGAAACTAATATAACCTGACTGAAAACTAAAAAAACACCTAAATTTGAATTCTAACAGTACCAATAGATTACTCTTGTCTCTTTTTCTGGCTATAAAGTCTCACCAACTCCTCCACCAACCCCATCTATATGTATAGCTCGGCTTTTCGCGCTCCCTTTCGGAAGAATGAATAGCCCTTATAGTTCGGACTCTACTTATATTGGTTTTGATTCTGATTTCACAAGTGCAATGTGAAACAATGGAAACACAAAAAAAGTCCAAATCCAGCAATTTCTTTTAGAAAATCGATGTTTGAATCAAATGCCAAAAATGGATTGCTTTACCAGATTTCAGAGTCGCCACCTAAATATTTATTTTTGGGAAATTTAGGAAACCCATGACTCATGCCAAAGGCCATTAATCTGTCGTTACCAAAGTGTCTTGGTTCGGGAACTTAGGTATGAGAGGGGAAGGTCAATAATTGAACACCCCACTCACCCGATCAAAGATCGGCCTCTACTAATCATGATGTGATTTTTATGTACAGTATATGTTCTTGTTCTATATGTAACATACAAATATAGACTAATTTCACGAAAAGTTGGAACGTTTGATTTCATGTTTGTTTTGACAAAAGTGTTTGAATATGTATCACTTAAAATGGTGATCTCATATATACATGAATCAAGTATCCCAATTCAAGTGATTAGCCTTCATCCACAGGCATTCAAACAGGTATATCAAATAAATAGTTAGCCTCATGGTAGTATGTTTGATATGACAGCATTCACACTTATGCAATATGCTAAAGCAAAAATGCTTACCTTAACGTCTGAAGGCGAGTCCAAGAAGAAAGCAAATAGTTAGAAAAAAAAAATGCATGATCCTAATTTAATGACTAATGCAACACATGCAACGTGCAATTAAGGTTTGGCTACTAGTATGGCATGTGAGTCAATTCAAGGCATGTGATAGTGCATGTATGCAAGTAAGGAGTTTGAATTTGACATTTGAATAATATAATGAGCCGAACTTTTATGCATGTAAACGAATGGATGTAAATCATGGAAAATGCTAACTAAACATGATGTCAGTAATCTAACCATCATAAACAGTGAAATAAAAGGGAGAAAGAATGGGGGTTGGAAGACATACAACTTATTACATATTTGTCCTCGCGAAGGAGGGTTCGAATGTCCAAATGTCGAAATAAATAATTATTACAAAGCCGAATGAATAATAAATGAAAGGGGTTGTCTAATTTATTACAAGAATTGATGTAAGACAAGCCTTGACACAATAAACTCGGTATAACGTCCGACCGAATTCAAGTAATCATATTAGTTCTTTATGTCGGTTGTAATCCAATTTTATTAACCTTTTTATTACCTTTCCATTTCTTTATCTTTTCTCCTGTTTGTGCAAAAGTGATATTTACGTCCACTAAGTCCAAAACGCAATAAAGAGAAACAAGCATCAACTTAACTCGAGAAAACCCGAGAAACAAATCTTATTTTCTTCGGGGGAAATTACAAAGGAAGAGTCAAACTTATTTACAAGCGATAAAGGATGCCAAGTCAAACTCAAGATGTGCAACAAGAACTAATCAAACTCAAAAGAGTGATAATGACTTAGAAAAATCCAAACTTGAGTGATAATGACTTGAAATCCAAACTTGATAATAAGTGATAATGACACTTTCCTTAGTGATTTCCAAGGGTCAATTAGTCCCTTAAAAGTAAACACACTGATGAATAAAAAGAAATGAAAAATAAAAGATTGTGCTTTAGTATAAAAACATGTATACATTTGGGGTAGTAAACCTTCAAAGAATTTAAACCATTAAGTATAGAGCGTTTTATTCTTTTGGTAGTAAATCTCCTAAGAGATTAAATCAGTAAGCATAGAACGTTGTATACTTTCGGTAATGAACCTCCTAAGCATAAAATGTTTTATGCCTTTGGTAGTGAATCTCCAAAAAGATTATACCATTAAGCGTAGAACATTTTATACCTTTGGTAATGAACCTCCTGAACATAAAACATTTTATGCCTTTGGTAGTGAATCTCCAAAGAGATTAAACCATTAAGCATAGAACGTTTTATACCTTTGGTAATGAACCTCCTAAGCATAAAACGTTTTATGCCTTTGGTAGTGAATCTCCAAAGAGATTAAACCATTAAGCATAGAGCGCTTTATACCTTTGGTAATGAACCTCCGAAGAGATTAAACCATTAAGCATGGAAGAGTTCCTTTCTTATACTTGAACCACAATCTTAATTTTTCACAACTTTTTAATCGAAATAAGCAAAGAATGGAAGGAGGGTGCAGAGATGATTATGCGAAATTGATTAATTGATTAATACAAACAATCTTGATATTTAAAACATAAATCATTGAAATAAATTAAATAGCATACAATAGTGCTAAAATTAAGCTATAGAAAGCGAGCAACATTAAATAGGATCAAGTTAGTAAACAAGCAGAAGGAAGGGTGGCTAACCCCTCCACTTTTACAACTTCAAATCACATAGTTTAGATGTTGAAAAACAGCCCCAAAAGAATTTGAGAGAAACCTACCACTTTTACTATTCACTGCTGGAGGTACTATTCACCATCGGGGTTACTATTCACCGCCGGAGGTTACTATTCATCCGGTGGTTACTATTCATCCGGTGGAGTAAATTATTTAAAGTAATAAATTACAACAGTTTATATACAATATTTAAATTACAACAGATATGTGGGTGGTGCAGCCTTCCCGTTGAAACAGTAAAACAGTATAATAATAATAATAAATTACAACAGATATGTGGGTGGTGCAGCATTCCCATTAAAGTGATAAATACACAGTTATGAAAAGAAATAAATGAAGTATTTAAACAAATTATATCACATTTTTAAATTAAATGAAAATTTATGAAAATTCACCTTTTGGGGAAATGATGAATTTTTTGAGTCACAAAATTTCTTTTGATTACTCTCAAGTCTGAAATGTGTTCTCAATTCTCCGCCCAAAATTTGGAATTACAACTTTAGTGGTTGGTTTTTGAATGGTGTATTGATGAAATAAAAATATCAAAGAAAATATTTTATTTTCCCTCTCTCTCTCAAAAAAAAACTAATTTTTTTTCTTTCTAATTCTTTTTCTCTCCAACTCTCTTGCACCACTTCCTTTTTCTCTCTGATTTGCCTCCCTCCTCCCTTTGATTAGCCTCTCTCTTCTCTTTTTTCTTTCCTGAGCCTTTGTCCTTACATAAACAAAAAAGTATAATATAATAATATAAATATTATATAATATATATCTAATATAATATATACACATATATATACATTATGTGCTTGGATGTCGGCACCCCAGGGCTGATTGACATAAAAAATTTTATTATTTTTCTTTTATAATATATATAATATAATATATAATTTATATAATTTGTACTAAAATACTAAACATATAATATAATAATATAACTTTTTTTATTATTTTCTTTTATATATATAAAATATATAATTTATACCAATTTATATAAAAACATCAAAAATATGAACAAACACATAAAATTATCCAAAATTACAAAATACTAAACTAATAAAATATTTAGTAGTTTAAAACAATTTAGCCATCATGGTGAAAGTTGGGATTAAAGTTCAATTTCTATCTCTCTTATTGAGGATTCTGTGAGAAACACATTCTAATTGTCATCATCGAGTAAACAAAAGAAAGCGCCCAAGTCCTAGGGCCGGTCAAAATTGGGGTGTCTACAATATCCTCCTCCCATTTGATACTTAGGGTTTCACTTAACTCCCTTGCTTTGCTCCTCACCGCCTCCCCACCATCTTCAACCACCACTTTCTGAATCACCTCGGCCACATTTTTTCGATCAAGCAACCCATTCTTGTCCCTCACAGCCTCCATGTCAATCCCTATCTCCTTCACCAACCTAGCATTTACAGGCTGATCAAGATGCATTGGTATGGCTGTGATTGGACTTCCAAACTTCATTCCCTCCATCACTGAGCTCCATCCACAGTGACTCACAAAACCACCAATGCTTGGGTGCAGCAAAATCTTCAGTTGAGGAGCCCAGCCTTTCACCACCATGCCTCTCTCTCCTACCCTCTCAATGAACCCTCTAGGCATTGCCTTCTCAACACTTGTATTTGCTCCCATTGAAAACCTCACAAACCATACAAAATTAACACCAGAAAGCTCCAACCCATAAGCTATCTCTTCAATCTCATCCCCCGATAGAAAATACTCGATGCCAAAACAAACAAACACTGTAGACCACCGCTTCTTCTTGTTTAGCCACCCAATAATCTCGCTCGCGTTGTTGTCATCGACACAGTCTTGGACAAGTAAGACAGGCACAATCTTCTTCCCAACCAAACCAGAGAGGTAATCAATGTTCTTTCCTTCAACTTCTTTAAAAGTTTTGATCAAAACAATCTCCAATGATCGATCAAGGCACTTGAAACAGCGAGTCTTGTCCTTGTCGAGGTTTTTCGAGGATTGAGCAAATGGAATACTTCTACTTTGTCATAATCACGAAGATAATTTTGGAATAATCTTCTGTGTAAAATAAAAAAACTTGAAACAAATCAAACAAATAAAAATAAATTACTTACAGAATTTATTTTACCGAGATGAATAAGTACAAAAATAGATTAAGTCGAGTGTGTGACACTCTGTCCTTAAGACAGATTTGCCTCGCTTCGGTACTTATGGATAAATGGCGTCTATCTCCCAAGATACAATTATCTTTTACAGATTGTATTAGCACTAAAAACAATTTGTTTCGGCAAACTAGAACCTATGTTCTATACTCTCAAATATTTCTCTAAAAACTAGAATGAAGAATAATGCAGAGAGAGAGAGAAACCAGGAAGACAAATGAATTTTATGGATATGAAAATCTGCTGAAAATGATCTCTATTTATAGAAAAATTGATGACCATTGGATAAATCCGAACAAGTATGATTCAAACTGAGCAGGTATGTTTTTGAAATGAACAGATCTGGTTCAAACTGAACAGGTATGAACTGTTTGAACCTGCTGGAATTTAATCTGTCTGTTGGACTGTTTGAACCTGCTGAAATGAACCCTTTAATCTGCCCGCAGGACTGTTTGAACCTGCTGATATAGACCTGGAAAAGGCACTGTACGTACAAAAAAATTGAATTCAAATTTTGGCGCAAAATTTGAATTAATTTTGTTCAGAAAAAATAAATTTCCCGTAAGAATTTTTGGAAAAAAATTCAAATAAAGTTTGTCTAAAAAATTATTATTAGAATCGACCCAACCCACCACCTGCACCAGCTCCCGGCACGGCTCGGCTTGGCTGGCCGGTCAGACTAACGGCGGCGGTGTGCGTGCGTGTTTGGTGGTTTGAGCCAAAGGTCACTTTGTCTATAACTCCTCCCTTCTACAATCTTGGGTGCCCGTTGGGCCCAACCCAAGTGTTGTCACCTAGAACTTATATACACACATAAGTTTTCTTAAGTTTCTAATGTGGGATAACCATTTCAAGGAAACCCACATTTTACTTCTTCAATTTCCTATTCCACGGACCCGAAAACGATGTTAACTTCCCATTCACTCATAAATGGTTTTGACGAACCGTATTTACCGTGTGACTTGCCATGCAGCAAAGAACATGCCACATCTTTGGACCCACCCCAAAAGACATGTGGGCCCCACTCAAATTTAAGCTCAAAGTTGGCCCAAAATAAGCCTATAAAACCATAAATTCCAACAATCCCCTACATGAATGGAATTTGACAGAGAGAAAATGAAACAACATGATCTAATTACAGAGAGTACAAAAATTGGAAATATCCTGCAAAGGATAGGTAGCTTTCGACTTTGAACCTTCCCTTGTGAGACACTATTGGATTTACTAGCTAACCAGTGAACATGATGTCTTGAACTGTTTAGCCATTTGTGTAAACCAAGACAATAGAACTCACACAGTATATTACCAGACGCAGTTTAGTTCTCACTATTGTGTTCATTTTGGCCCTAAACAACCTGGTCTTTCATGAGTGCTCTAAAGAATTGTAGCATTTCACAAATCTCATAGAGCCAGCCCAATTCACACTCATATAGGTGATTCTTATGAAGAGTAGCCTACCATACTCCACTAGGTATTCCTAGATATAAGAATCATTAAAAGTATTTACTTAACCTAAAACGCTGCAGACATCACTATTTCATCATAGAAATGGATAGGAGTTTAACTCCCCAGTGATCCTTATAAGTCATATATAACTCGGTTGTCCCTTTGAACCTAGATCTTGGGATCTCTAGTCAACTAGATTGGGTTGCCATTGTGGTAACTCTTATTTAATAGGCTTAAGTCCCATTCCCCTCGATGAATTCTCATCCGTTATGTTGTCTTTAGACTTCACTTATTCAATGGAAATAATTCCATTAGAGAGTAGTTGTCTCACAATGTTATGTCGATGATGAATGTGTCGTGACTTACTGTTATACATATGACTCTGTACTTTACCTATTGCTAATTGACTATCGTAATGTATGCATATAGCAGGCACCGGTTTTGGTCACATTGGAATATCTTCAAGGAAGTGACGAAGCCATTCTACTTCTTCCCCAACTTTATCTAAAGCTATAAACTCTAATTCTATAATAGACCTAGCAATGCAAGTCTATTTGGAAGATTTCCAAGATACGACCGCCCCACCAAGAGTAAAGACATACCCACTGGTGGATTTTGAGTCTCTAGTATTCGATGTCCAATTTGCATCACAGTATCCTTCAAGTACTGCTGGATATCTAGTATAATTAAGCCCAATGTTACGAGTAAATCGGAGATATCTTAGAACTCTTATAATAGCTTTCCAGTGTTCTACTCTCAGATTACTCGTATATCTACTTAATTTACTTACTACATAAGCTATCCGAGTGAGTGTTATTCATCAAGTACATTAAGCTTCCAATAATTTGGGCATACTCTAATTGAGAAATACTTTCCTGTACATTCTTAGAAAGAAATAAATTAACATCTTAGAAAGAAATAAATTAACATCCACAGGTGTTCTAGTAAGATGATCATCATCTTTACTAAATTTGTTAAGTATTTTCTCAATGTAATTTGATTGTGACAAAGCATAACCTTCTGATGTTTTCGTAATTTTCATACCAAGAATTACATCAACAAGCCCCATGTCCTTCATGTCAAAATGTTTATTCAACATTTTCTTAGAAGTTTTAATCATGTCGTTATTAGTACGTATGATGAGCATATCATCCACATAAAGGCATACTATAACATAACCATTGTTTGGGTTTTTAATATAAACACATTTGTCACATTCATTAATTATGAATCCATTTGACATCATTGCTCTGTCAAATTTCTCATGCCATTGCTTGGGCGCTTGTTTGAAACCATATAATGATTTAACCAATTTACACACTTTCTTTTCTTTTCCTGGAACAGAAAATGTTTCTGGTTGTTCTATGTAAATTTCTTCATCTAACTCACCATTTAAGAAAGCGATTTTCACATCCATTTGATGAATTTCTAGATTGTACAAAGATACAATGGCAATTAGCATTCTAATGGATGTTATTCTAGTAACTGGTGAGTATGTGTCAAAGTAATCAAGACCATTTTTTGTCTATATCCTTTGACCACAAATCTTGCTTTGTATTTGTTAATTGATCCTTCCGCTTTCATTTTTCTTTTGAAAATCCACTTGTATCCAAGATGTTTACAACTTGGTGGCAAATTCACCAATTCCCAAGTGTGATTTTGGAGGATGGATTCAACTTCGCTATTTACAGCTTCTTTCCACAAAGGAGCCTTAGGACTGGACATAGCTTCCTTAAAAGTTAAGGGCTCATTTTCTCATAAAAAGTTAGAAAATATGGACCAAAAGATTTTGAAGTTCTAGCACGTTGACTACGCCTAGGTTCCTCTTCCTCATTTTGATCTATCTCTTGCTCTTATTTTTTATCTTGTTCTTGATCATGACTAGTAATAGCATCATAAGATCTTTTATTAGTACTAGTCTCTTGTCCAGTCTTGTTTGGAAATATATGTTCAAAGAACGATGCATTCCAAGATTCAATAATAGTATTTATATGCATTTCGGAATGTTCTGACTTATGAATCAAAAACCGATATGCACTACTATTCTTGGCATAACCAATGAAAATGCAATCAATGGTCTTAGGACCTATCTTAGTCTTTTTAGGACTAAGAATAGTCACTTTAGCCAAACACCCCCACACTTTTAAGTATTTGTAGGATGGTACTCTTCCATGCCACAGAGCCAAAATAAAAGTGTGACAGACAAATTCTGTTTTGAGAACATAATGTTAAACACTAACCTTGATCGTTTATGTTTTTGTTCATAACAGTCTGTGGGTTCTTTCTGTTCTCTGTTTAATACATACGGTTACTCTTTCAATGTTGTAACTTATTAACATGGCATTCATTATTTCTTTTAAAGTCTTATTTTTCCTTTCAGCAATTCCATTTTGCTGAGGTGAGTAAGGAGCGGTGGTTTGATGAATTATTCCATGTTCTTTACAAAATTCACCAAAAGGTGATTCATATTCACCACCTCTATCACTTCTAAGTTTTTTAATTTTCTTACCAAGTTGATTTTCAACTTCATTCTTATATTGAATGAAAGTTTCCAAAGCTTCATTCTTGGTTCGAATTAAATAAACATAACTATATCTAGTATAGTCATCTATGAAAGTCATAAAATATTTTTTCCCACCTCTGGTTTGAATTGATTTAAAATCACAAATGTTACTATGAATTAATTTAAGTAGTTCCGTACTTCTTTCAATTGAATGAAAAGGAGTTTTGGATAATTTTGCCTCAACACAAATTTCACATTTATGATTTGAATCAATGTGAAATTTAGGTAAACATTCCATATTAATTAATCTACGCAAAGATCCATAATTAACATGTCCTAGTCTACCATGCCACAAATTTGAAGACTCAAATAAGTAAGAAGAAGATGTATTTTTATTAATAATAGAGGGTACAACAGTCATTACATTCATTTTGAAAAGGCCATCAGACATGTAACATTTTCCTACATACATCTCGTTTTTGGTAAGTACAAATTTGTCACTTTCAAAAACTAGCCTAAACCCATTTTTACTCAACAGAGATCCGGAGACTAGATTCTTGTGAATATCCGGTACATGCAGCACATTGTTGAGAGTGAGTTACTTTCCAGAGGTCATCTTCAGAATAATCTTTCCTTGTCCTTCAACTTTAGTAGTCAAGGAGTTGCCCATAAAAAGTTGTTCACCGTTATCCACTATAAAATAAGATGTAAACATCTTTTTGTCAGCACAGATGTGGTGAATAACACCTGTCACAACCCACTCCCTGTACCCAAGGGTTAAGCATCATGATGGCCAGTAACTAAAGTTACCTCCGGTCAATTCTTGAACAAATAAATAAACGCAAGCAGAAATAATATTTCAGTAAGGGTACCAAAATAATCATTGAAGCTTCTATTTTTATCACACAATTCATTGACCAAAAAGGCCGATATTTACATATGAAGAATAGAACTATAAATACTATAAAAGTGTAATGTGTGTCTATTCCGTAGCCTTCTGTCTAAAACTCTCCAAAAGCTATTTCTGAATTGCATTGTTTCCTGAAAATTGGTAAACAGCTATAAGCACATGGTAGAGTGAGAAATATTATACTAAGAGCATCAGGGCATAAAATTCACCATTGATAATTATTAGCTAAACAAAGCTTGATATTAAAATACATAAGATATAATACGAAAATCATTTGACATATAATACAGAAATCATATAAGAAAAATAATCATAACCACGGTATAAAACGGAACTAAACAGATGTATAGACTCAAGAGGTGGCTCGTACGAACTCTAGAGGTGGCTCCCACCATAGTGTAGCACTTAGCTCCATACAGTACTTTACTCCACACCAGAAATCATAACCACGGTACAGAACAGAACAGATGTATGGATTTAAGAGGTGGTTTGTACAAACTATAGAGGTGGCTCCCAGATAGTGTAGCACTTAGCTCTGTACAACACTTTGCTCCACACCAGAAATTAGAGTGTCAGTGGATCCATGATAGACAGAGGGGTCACAAAGTGACTAATCAGAGGGCCAATAATTATTTAAGTCCCTCAAGGCATGGGACCTCCGTGGTGGTACTTATAAAATAATTACTCAAAACACATTTTAATAAACAGTTATATCCTTGGGTTTTCCTTATTATATAAAATAAGGTTCATAAATTAAAAATGCTAATATAATTTATAAAACACAATGTGCATAAAATAAACTATGGTAACTCAAAACATACGTAAAACATATAATGGTAACTCAAGGTATAATATAACTCACCTAAATATTGACCCTTAACCTTTACTTTCCTCATATCGACTTCCTATTTCTTTGTATGCTGCCCTTAGTTATATCATTTTTCCTCCCGCTTAGCAACCCACTAAGCCCCGCTATTTATAGTTAGTGAAAACCTTAGTCCCTAATCAAAAGTTAACACGTGGCCTATATCCAATAGGTGATAATTTGTTTACTTTCGCCTATCCCTCTAGATTAGGTGACTCACCAAGTCTTTAAAACTATACTTGCATAGTCATCAATCTATATGTTTTGCTGGAGCACATGTAGGGACTATTATTTTATTTTTTTTAACCTTTGATTTAATTCTAATTTGGCCTAATTTTTTTAAACTAATTATATACCTTTTCTTTTATAATATATAATCCCTAATTAAATTTCATTTTATCACATACAACCATAATATTCAATATTTTATTTTACTCTTACAGAATATTTAATGAAACCTTTAGGGTTTTTCTCATTTATAATTAAATAATTGTAATATAAAATTTAAGGGACAATTTAAATTTTCAAGTTGTTACAGCACCAGTGTCCACCCACCATTCTTTAGGATTTCCAACAAAATTTGACTCGAAAACAACTGCAGAAAGATTTATATCCTCAACACCATTGGGAATTTTGTCCACTTCGGTTATATTGGCTTGAGCAGGCTTCTTGCTTGATCTTCCTTTGCCTTTGCGTTTGCTACGGCAATCTTTCGTCCGATGTCCCTCTTTGTCACAGATGTAACATTTGCCATTAAACTTGTACTTCTTAGTTTTCTCTCCTTTAGAGCCTTGTGAGGAACTCCATTGGATGCTTACCAGCCCACTTCTCAGACTTGCGGTTGTCCTCCTCAATCCCCAAACACACAATTAATTCCTCAAAAGTCATTTCTTTGCGCTTGTGTTTGAGATAGTTCTTGAATTTCTTCCAATCTTGTGGTAATTTTTCAATTAAAGCAATAACTTGGAAGGATTCACTAAGAGACATGTCTTCTGCATAGATGTCATGCAGAATAAGTTGGAGATCTTTAACTTGGCTGATCACAGTCTTAGAATCAACCATCACAAAATCTAGGAATTTGCCAACCACAAATTTCTTTGAGCCAACATCTTCTGTTTTGTACTTTTTCTCCAAAGACTCCCAAAGTTCATTTGCCGTCTTGATAGGACTATAAACGTTGTATAATGTGTTATCAACTCCATTCAAAATGTAATTCTGATAAAGGAAATCAACATATTTCCAGGCATCGACCGCAGCAATCACTTGTCGATCAGTTTTATCCTCTTTCACAGTAGGAGCATTGTAGACCGCCCCGGACTCTCTCCGCGCAGCCCCCCTTTCAGAGAGGGCGCGAATTGGGTTCTAGCTACTACAGTTCGGACTCCTGTCACGGTTCTGAATCTAATCTCACAAAGTGCAATGTAAGACTGATAAATCACCAAAGAGTCCAAATCCGGCAAATCGTTTTGGAAAATCGATTTTAATCAAGAAGTGCCAAACATGGACTGCTTTGCCAGATTTCAGAGTTGCCACCTAAATATTTTGTTTTGGAAAATTTAGGAAACCCTGACCTGTGTCTAAGGCCACGTGTCCATTATCACCTCGGCTCGGGAACTTGGGTACGAGGGGGGAAGGTCATGAAATGAGCACCCCCGCTCGCCCGATCAAAGGATCGGCCTCTACTAAACATAATATGTTATTTTTGAAAACACATGTGTTCTTATTCCGGTTTATTAGCTAACCTTACTATATGATGCGCATAGCATACAAGTATAGACTAAATCACTCAATTTGGAACAAAACATCTCATGCTTGTTTTTCGAAAATAGTTTGGAATTGCCACTCACAAGTAGGCTAAAGCGCGGATTTGCCACCCTTAAGAGGGCTTAAAACAACATGATTTTGCCACTTCAAGTGGGCTTAAAACACACATTTTGATGAATTGTTCCAATTCAAGCAATGAAGCCTTCATCCACAGGCATTCATGCAGTTTATCAAGTAAGCAAATAGCCTCATGGCAAGCATGCTGTCATGGCAACACTTACACACATGCAAGGATGTTAAAGCATAAACACTTACAGTGTACTCCGAGCCAAAACAAAACCTAGTTAGTAATCATGCATGATCCTAGCTATGTTAAGATGCCTAATGCAACACATGCAAAAATGCAACTAAAATAGGCTCGACTATCTAGAATGGCATATGAATGCAACACTTGATAACATGCTTTGAAACACGTATTCAAGAAATTGTATTGAAATACAATGCAGTTTGAATGATGCGCCAAGCCTGGTACATGCAAGACAAATGAATGATGCACACATGCAAACACTACTGGAAATGTTTGTTTTAACGGCATTTAAATGATGGCATTTTCTTAAACGTCGTCTTTTTTAATATTTAACAGCGTTTTATAAACGTCGCCTTTTGTGCTAACCAAAACGGCAGCATTTAGCTGATAGAAAACGCCTCCGAGTGTGTTATAATCTCTCACACCCTCTCCCTCCCTCTTGAGACTCTCATTCTTTACTCTTCAGTCTCAGAAAGAAGATGCCTCAAATTTCTCGCTCACTCTCTCGCTTCAGCTCGATGATCCCTTAAATCTCAGAGTGATGTCAGAATAGGAATCGATTGGAATCATCTTGGTGATTTAATTTGTTTACCTATTCCATTCACATAGAAATCACTAAGAGGTAAACCTATCTACATCAAGCTTCAAAATCGATTTTATTTACTGAAAGGTAAACCTATCTGCATCAAGCTCAATGATTTTGATTTCAATTTCATTTTTTTTTTCTCTCTCGCTCATTTTCACTCTTCTCTGTCACCAGACTTATCTCTCTCTCTCTCTCTCTCCCCTCTGCCGATCTCATCCACACTCACCGCCGCTGTTGTCTTCTCATTATCACCTCCGATCGATAGCTACAGTGGTGGAAGAGGATGGCGGTGGTGGTGCTCGTTGAAGAAAAGAACAAGAGACAAGATTTGAAGGATTTCGAAGTAATTAAAGCCAGATCTGAAGGTTTCAAAGAACACCTGATCCAAATATGGGGGCTTCGAATCAGATATATTGGTAAGCTCCTTCGAATCCTTCCGTTTTCAGTAAAAACCTCTTTTCATCAACTTCTGTATTGTGTATGTGTGTGTGAGAAAGTGTTGAAGAAGAGGCTGTAGTGTTCTTGATTTTCCCCCTTTGTTTCTTGAATTCTATAAATCTCACCAACAACAATGGTCAAGTTTTATGTTTCTGTTCTCTCTCTCTATCTCTCCATATATATATATATATATATATATATATATGTATATCCACATATCCAAGATTTGTATATTTATGTATTTGTTGTTTGTTGTTGTTTCAGCTACTGATACAATTTTATAATTAAAAGGATTTAAATGCACAATTTTAAAATTAAAAGGATTTAAATACACAATTTTAAAATTAAAAAAGTAAAATAATAATCAATAATAATTGAGAGATTATTCATATGATTAACCTTTAAAAGTTGAAACAAATATGTAGTCATGGCATTTAACATCATGAATTCACTTCCACTTTTGAGCTTTTTATGTCTAAGATAAGATTAAATGTTCTCAATCAAAATAGACTTTATCAAAGTCAGTCATAGAATCACTTACATGAGATTTTTCCAACAAAGTAAGAGGCATCATATAGCGATCCCGGCTTTCCCTTCATTGTTTAATTGTATTTCGGACTCGGTTCTGTGGATGTGTTGTTGTCTTATTCCTGTTTTCATCATTTACTCTTTGTATATGAGTCTTGGGCCGTGTTGGGTAGGTTTGAAACAAGTTGGGTGTGTTTGGGAAAACAAGTTGATTGTGGTTGGAAACCAAGGGTTAGTGTCCATTAAATTTTCATAATGGTCCATTCATATTCAAACTTGTCCTTTCAAATTCCAATTAGTAGGCTTTTATGACAAACTTGTTCATTTAATATCCTTATTAGTGGTTCATTTAATATCCTTATTAGTGTTCATTTAATGACAACTAGTGTCTTTTCATAATCCAACTAGTGTCTTTTCATAATCCAACTAGTATTTATTTAATGACAACTAGTGTCTTTTCATAATCCAACTAGTGTCTTTTCATAATCCAACTAGTATTTATTAGTGGGCTTTAATGAACCAATAAATCCTAACTTGACTTTTCAATTCTAACCAGTGGGCTGCTATGCCATGTTACACCAGATTTGCCTATAAATATCACCATTCCCTAGCATGGCAAACACTAGTAACACTCTCACACACACACATTCGACTAAAGGAGAGGAAGGAGAACAAAAGAGAAATCTTAAGAGGAAGAGGAAGGGATGGCTTGCTCTTCATTTTGATTCGAAAACTATTGGCTTCAAAATCCTTCATCTTCTCCATTTGGTCTCTCCATTTGAGGTAGGGATAACTACTCATTTTTATGATCTTTGACATAAACTTTTGGTCATTTTGATTTAATGTTGAAGTTGGGTGATTTTGGGTGTTAGATTTTGGGTGTTAGGGTTTCAACTTGAATAAAGAGGGGTTTTGCTATTTTGACCAATATATGTATATCTTGGGTCTTAAAATGAGCTTATTGATTGTAGTAGACACTGCATGATGATTAGGTGAAATAAAACTAATCGGTTGAATATGTCATTGAATATGACGGTTGGAATAATACATCGAATTTGTGTATTGATTGATCGTGTATATGATAATTGTTTATATACATTGTATTATGTGGGAGGAGATAGGGGATGTACTCCACGGTTTGGGAGGAGATAGGGGATGGACTCCTAAACCGGATTTTATTTAGGAGGAGATAGGGGATGGACTCCATTGATATAGCAAATCTGTGTATCATTTATGAAGTATGAAGTGTTTTAATATGAGTTGTTATCTCATGAGAATTGTGAAGTATGGAAGTGTTTTATTATGAGTTATAATCTCATTTAAATTGTTGATATTGGAAAGGATCATGGACACACTTGTCATGGATTTGGATTGTGCTGTATGTTGGTTTATATGAGTTAAACATTTATCAACATGCCAATGTTTTAGTTATTGCTCATATTATGTATAGCGACCCCGGTCTTTTCCCATTTGATTATTGTATCCGGACTTAGGTTCCGTAGATTCTGTCATTGTATAATTGCTGTTGTTGTCCTTTATTTTCTCATTTGGAATTATAGGATGTGTTGGGCAGGTTTGTTTCAGGTTGGAACATAAATCAAACAAAGTGTTGCTGTCCAGGATTTTGGTTCTTCGCTCGAGCAATGAGTTGGTCGCTCGAGCGAGAGATGTGTCAGTATGGACCTGTAGCTTTGCATTCTTTTGGCTCGGCGAGCTTTTCTTCGCTCGAGGAGTTTAGTTTGTTCTTCGCTCGAGCAATTCCTTCATCGAGCGTGAGTCTGGTTTCAGACCTGAGGGTTTGAGTGTTCCTCGATCGAGCTTTCTTTCGCTCGAGCGAGCTTTTGGGTTGTTGGCTGAGCAAGGCTTCCTTGGCTCGAGCGTAGATTCTCTGTGTTGGTCGCTCGATGCGACAAGTCTTCGTCGAGCGAGCCTGTCCAGTTTTAAATACACAGCACGGGATTTGATCAGTCTTTTTCATATTCTTTTGATTCCAAACCCTAGGTTCGACCTCTCTCTCTCCTACTCACCTTCTCTCTTAGGTTTGATCTGTTTTAGAGAGTGTTTCAACTAGTTGCTTTATAAAAAGATAGAGGGAGTCGAGAGCTTTCATTTAATCTGAACATTTGGCAATTTGGAGCATTTTGGTCTTTGGGCACTCATCTCGTCTTCACCAATTTGGGTTGTTTCTCTGAGGTAGGATTTCCTACTCACATTTTATAGGTTTTGTTCTAAGTTTTGGTATTTTAACATGTTGGGGATACTTTG